GTGACTGTGAGCTTAAGTGGGTTAATGGTGTTTGGTGAGGGCTTATGGAAATCATGCTTAATTGACCAAATTGTGATATGGATACTGGGCATGCTGAAGTCTGGACTTTGGTTTGGGCATAACAGAATTTTAGAGCTGGGAGAATCTTTTATCAGGGATGGCAAATGGATTTCATATGGCAGGCAGGTACCAGCTGATGGGAGGACCCTGGGGCCAAGTCTAGACTTAGCAGGAAAGGAGTATTGCAGTTCATTAGGGATGTTTGTTCTGAACTTGTAGTTGGGGAACTGGGGAGCTGTGACACATGGTCCCTATATTACCATTTCTAAACTGTGATTTAGTCTTTTCATTTGAAAAGCGGCAAACTTGGCCTCCTTTGAGTCAACATGATCCAGGACTTGGCCCTCAAACAGAAAGTAGAGGTTCTTGTTTGTGGCTCAGGAGCATTCATGAAGGAATGCACCCTAAACAAGCTCACATGATTCAGATACATAAACTGATAGCCAGATATTTAAATTTTGTTTGGAGAAAGCTTTTCCCAGTAATTGGAATGAGTAAGTACCCTAAGGAAAACTATTTCTGTCTCTCCTCCTTTCTCCAAATCAAGTCAAACAGAAGTCAAATTATTTATTACAAAATGATCCTTAATAAGGAAAGTTAAATATTACTTTATTTTCTTTTTTGTGATACTGGAGATTGAATCCAGGGCTTCATGCATGCTAGACAAGCTCTCTATCCCTGACCTAGGCCTCCAACCCTTAAATAACATGAGAGAGAGAGAGAGAAAGGAAACATTCCTTTAAGCCTGATGACATAGCACAGCATCAAATGAGGTTTTCCTTGTGTCTATAATTCTTTGCATTCTTTGAATACACATGGACAAAACTTTGTTTCACTAATTCCCATTTTTTGCTTGCTGACCCCTTTATTACCTGATACAGCCCTTCTTGGAACATATTTACATCCATTACTAAGAGTAAACACCCCTTTCTGGGTATCCTAGAAGGGTTTATCTCCTGCTGACATGTGTCGATTTCGTGCATCAATTCTGCATCTTTCAGAGATATCTTGATGTCTTATTTATTAAATTTTAATAGGCCTATGGATTATCTACTATAATGCAGATTCTGATTTTGTAGGTTATGGTGGAGCATAAGATTTTGTATTTCTGCTGGGCATGGTGGTACACATCTGTAATCCCAGCTATTGAGGAAAATAAGGCAGGAGGAATGCAAGTTTGAGGCCAGCCCAGGCAATTTAGCAAGAATCTGTCTCAAAATGTAAAGGGCTGGGATATAGCTAAGTGCTAGAATGCCTGTGGATTCAATCCCAGTGCTACTACCACCACCCCAAAAAAACATAACAAAACAAAACAAAAAAATACAATAAAAACAGGTTTTGCATTTCTAATGAACTCCTACGTAATGCCATAATGCCGTTATGCCGTTATGCCGTTGGCCCCTGTGATGCTGATGATTTACTCCATGAACCATACTGTGAGAAACAAGCATCTTTTCATTACACTTTCCCTTAAAGCCTACTTGCTATTCTTGACCTTGCACCTTCTAATCTTCCTGGTGGATTTTAGGTCCAATACTTCCCCTCCCAGCAGTTGCTAAAGATCATGGTGTTAAGGAGGTAAGATTGTTGGCTGTGATTCTATGGAGGGAAATCTTCCCATATATGTGTGATCAGAGATTTCTATTGGGCTGGCTGAATAACCAGTGAGGTTGATTTTTCTTCAAATAATTCTGTCCCTTCTATTCTTCTCAAGAAGTATTCTGCCAGGAGTGGTGGTACACACCTGTAATCCCAGCAACTCAGGATACTGAGACAGAAGTATCTCCAATTCTAGACCAGCTTCAGCAATTTAGCGAGGCTCTAATCAATTTTGCAAGATCCTATCTCAAAATAAAAAGGGCTGAAGTTGTAGTTTAGTGATTAAATAAATACCCCTGGGTTCAATCCCCAGTACCCTAAAAAAATTTATAAGTAAAAAATAAATAATAATAAGTAGTAGTAGTGATTCCTCAGTTCACAGTAATACTACATAGTTTTCAGGAGTAGTTGATTTTGTGTATTAAAACATAATTGAAGTCAGAAATAATCCATGTTTAAAATCTCAAGGAATTTATTCTTTTCCCTTCCCCTTCCCCCTTTAGTCTTTTTCTTGTTGTCTAGAGGGAGGACTAATCTGGGGCTTCTAATCTGCAAACTGTACATTCACATGATTGTAAAACAGTTACCAACCAACAATTTCCTGAGTGTTGCAAGTTCATTGAAGCAGAGATGAGGAGATTTACACGTGCACATTTCCCTCATTGCTCAGGGCCTAGTAGGTGCTCAGCAAATGTCTGCCACTGCTTACTCAGTCTCCGTATAGTCATGCATGAAAGCGGGGAAAAAGAATCAACACCTAACACAAACATACCGAGGCATGCCTTTTAAAATTTGTATAGTTTTTCAGTTCTAACATTAGCTGGCAATAGCTTACGTATACGCCCAAACTATTGAAAACCAAGAATAGATTTTACCTGCTTCCTCCAAGCTTTTCCTAGTTTAGAGGCCCCAGTCAATAATAGGGTATTTTAAAAATGACTGAATGTTATTAGCAGTTTTTACACGTCAAAAACCCTTAAAATATTACAAAAAGAAAGCTGAAGCCAGGATATCTTAGAAATGCAAAAGGCTGGTTGAATTAAGAAACAATCTGTTTCACTAAAAGAAGCAAGTTCTCTTTCGAGCTGTTACATACAGAAAAATCCCATATTCAGGCTCCAAGCATAACCAAGCGCATCTTGATTTGCTAGCCATTTATTTATCTTTGGGAGTAATAATAGAAACCACGTATGGGCTGGGCTCTAATCCCACCGCTTGCTTTGTAGGATGTCCAGATGGCCTCGGTTTAGCCTTTGCCTACATTTCCTGCTGATCCTTGAGAAGGGAAATGGGCCGCCCGCCTGTACAAATAAAATCCGACACTGTCCTCTACTTCTGTTTCATCATGGAGGGATGTAGGGAGTAGAGTGTTTTTTGTTTTGTTTTATTTTGTTTTGGGGTACTGGGGATTGAACTCAGGGATGCTCTACTTCTGAACCACATCCCCAGCCCCTCCCCACCACCTTTTTTTTTTTTTTTTTTGAGACAGGATCTTGCTAAATTATCCAGGTTGTCCTTGAACTTGTGATTCTCCTGCCTTGGCTGCCCTGCCCCCAGCCCCAAGGCTGGGATTACAGTATATTCCAACACTTCTGGCTAGTAGATTGCTTTATACAGATGCCACAGTGTCACTGTGTGTAGCAAACAGAAGAGCATGTCCAGAGCTGGTGGGAAGCCACATTCTTTCTCCCACTAGATGTTCTTCCTGTGATTGCCCAAGGGAAGCTGCCAGAACCCCGGGCACAAGCCAGAAATGAGCTTGCCTCCTGGTGGTGTTGGAGGCAAGCAGAATGCAGAATCATAAAAATGTGCAATAGGGGTATGTGTCTGTCTCCCCTGCTCCACGCTCTCTCTCTTTCTCTTTTTGTGCTGGTGATTAAACCCAGAGGCCCTGTAGCACTAAGCCAAACCCTCAGCTCTTTTTTACATTTTATTCTCAGACAGGGTCTCACCAAATTGCCAAGGCTGGTCTTGAATTTGCAATCCTCCTTCCTCAGTGTCTGAGTTGCTGGGATTACAGGTGTGCACCACGTCACCTGGCTTCACAGTGGTATTCATTGGATTTTCTTGCACTGAGGGGTGAAAAGAGAAAGTATTTATCATGTTTTCTGATGGTGGACACCCACAAATATAAACATGAGCCAGTATTATAGAAGTTTTTTAGTTCAAAATGTTTTCTCTATTGTACACTTTAAAATAGTAAGTTTTATGTATATTTTACCCCAATTTTTTTAAGTTTTTTTTTTTTTCCCCCTGCTATTTCTCACCTATTGAGTGATTTTTTTCTTCACCTAAAAGGTGAATTCTGAAAAGATCTTGTTCTTTCAGGGCATGGTGGCACACACCTATAATTTCAGCAACTCAGGGAGGCTAAGGCAAAAGGATCACAAGTTTGAGGCCATTCTCAGCAACTTATTGTGAGACCCCGTCTCAAAATAAAAAATAAAAAAGGGGCTGGGATGTAGCTTCTTGGTGGCAAGATTCCACTGGTTCAATCCCCAGTACAAAAAAAAAAAAAAAAAAAAGAAAAAAAGAAAAAGAAAAAGAAAGAAATAAAAAGAAAAACCGTATTTTTTAGGATGACCTTCAGCGGCTGGGGATGTAGCTCAATGGTAGAGCGCTTGCTGGGCATGCATGAGGCCCTGGGTTTGATATTTGATATCTGCTATCTGCCAAAAAAAAAAAAAAAAGGATGAACTTCAGGTGGATTGACAATATCAAACTTTGCATGTTCACTCATTTACTCCTTTTTTTTTTTTTAAATGAAAACATTAGGGGCAATAATTCCATTGTATGAAAAACAAACTCTCATAAACATTTGTGCATGAGTGTTCATAATAGACAAATGACAGAAACAACCCAATGTCCATCAACTGATGAATAGATAAATAAAATGTGGTGGATCCTCACAATGGAATATTATTTGTCCATAAAAAAATGAAGTTCTGATACATGCTATAACATGAATAAAACTTGTAAAACATTATGCTAAGTAAAAAAAGGCAGTCACCAAAGGTCACATACTGTATGTGGCCATTTATATGAAATATCCAAAATAGATTTATCTACTGAAACAAAAATGAGATTGGTGGTGGCCTAGGGCTGGGAACAGGGAGGGAATGAGGGGACTGAGGGTGAAGGCTAAAGGATGTAAGGTTTCTTTGGGGGATAATGAGAGTGTTCTAATATGGATCAGGGGATGGATGGTTGCTCAAGTCTGTGAGTACACTAAAATCTGTGCTCTAGGGGGTGAGATGGGTATACGTGAGCTTTGGTGCATTCCAGCTAATCACTATCCTGGGAATGACCAGGTTGGATTTTTAACCGTACTGTCTTTCCAGGGTGCGGAATACCACGTTGTTATCCTCTCCCTGTGAGTGGGACTGGCACGTGGGCTCCAGCTCAAGACGCAAGTATTCTACGAAGCACAGACTCCTGCTGGCCAGCAGCCTGCTTTCCCAGGTATTTACTAATTTGTTTCTCAGCAACCTAGTTACTGGGTCTTCTCTACCAAAAGTTTGATGTAGGGGCTGGGGTTGTGACTTAGCGGTAGAGCATCCACTTAGCATGTACGAGGCTCTGGGTTCGATCCTCAACACCACATAAAAATAAATAAAATAAAGGTATGGCATCCAACTACAACTAAAAAATAAATATTTTTTAAAAAGTTTGATGTAAATCACTTCATATCCTAGATGTCATCCAGATTGTCATTTTCTATGTTGCTGACATATAAAGTCTCATAGAAAACTTAATGGTAATGTCCTATTTATTAATAAACAGAAATATCTTTTTTTCCTGGGGGCACTTAGCCACTGAGCCATATCCCCAGCCTCTCCCACCACCCCTTTTCTTTTTTCTTTCGAGACAGGGTCACACTAAGTTGCTTAGGGCCTTGCTAAGCTGCTGGGGCTGGCTTTGAATTTGCCATCCTTCTGCCTCAGCCTGTTGAGTTGCTGGGGTTACAGGCATGTACCACCACACCCACTCAACAAATAGAAATATCTTACCTGCATTTATGTCTGAATTGATAGTTTCTAACTTTGCCAAGGGGTATGTGTGTGTGAGTGTGTTTTCCTGGCCAAGCCATGTTAAGTATAACTCGTGGGTTTCGTAATAAATGCCTACTGCCCAAGGCAATGGTGCACACCTGTAATCCCACCTACTTTGGAGGCTGAGGCAGGAGGATCCCAAGTTCGAGGCCAGCCTGGGCAATATAGTAAGACTGTCTCAAAACAAAAATGAAGGGCTGGGGATGTAGCTCAGTGGTAGAACTCAGTATGCATGAGGTCCTGGGTTCAGTCCTTAGTATTGCAAAATAAAAAAATAAAATAGGATGAATGCCTAGATGGTGAGATTGGCATTTGATGTTCATGCTGTCGGGGTTGGAGGTTGTTATGGTAAGTCATTTGTTTTCACTGTCATTGAGGGAATAAAGTACTATAACAATGTAAGCACTTTGCTGAAGATATAAAAGAGAGTCAACGCACTGGCTTCTAAAGATTAATTATGTACAAGCTTTTAGTGAAAGAGCTAAGAGTGAGCATTATCTATTTATGGATTCAATTTTAAGTATGAATTACATAAGATTTACAAGGTATTAAATTTTGTTTTGACAGATGTATTTGTTCTTAGTTAGACTTTAACCTCTGATTATAGGTCAGTCCATGGCTGTCTGGAACGGAGTTGGAATTTTTTTTCTGTGCTTGGTTTATAATTCCTGTCTGTTTAAGCTGGCAGCCCCTGCCTGGGCGGTTCCTAGCCATATGTGAGAACTGGATTTCAGTGGTATGTGAACTGCACACTCCAGATCAGCAGATAGCTGTTCAAATTCCAGTGCTCTGCCTTCTAACGTGTGATATTGGGCACAGGTCTCAGTGTTTCTAAGCCTCAGAGCAGTGGGCATGTCAACATGAAGCTAACTGAATGAATGAATAGCAAGTTCTTTCTCAGAGTCAGCTTGTCTAAATGGGTACAAGTGAGTAGGGAAGTCTTCAGTTTGCACTGAGTCAACAGGGCTGGGAGTGGTTTCAGATGTAGAGATATTCTCTATGGTCTTTTAAAGTTTCCAAATATTGGACTACACCTGTTTACCCAGACCCCAGAAGTGATTTTCCTGAAACTAGATTTCTAGGTGGAATCTATTGATAAAATCTAATAAATTGGAAGGAGAGTATGGATTGTAAAAGAGTATATATCTCAGTCTTTTTGATCTGCTATAACAAAATACCTTAGACTAGGTAACTTGAAAACAACAGAACTTTCTTTTTTCTTTTTCTTTTGCAGTGCTGGGCCCAGGGTCTCTTGCCTTCTAGATAAATACTCTACCACTGAGCCACATCCCCAGTGTGCCCCTCATAGAACTTTCTTTTTATTTTTTTTTGGGGGGTACCTAGGATTGAACTCATGGACACTCAACCACTGAGTCACATCCCCAGCCCTATTTTGCATTTTATTTAGAGAAAGGGTCTTACTGAGTTGCTCAGCACCTCACTTTTTTATTGAGGCTGGCTTTGAACTTGTGATCCTCCTGCCTCAGTCTCCCAAGCTGCTGGGATTACAGGCATGAGCCATGACACCTCGCCTGAACTTTATTTCTTAACATTTGGTTGACTTGGTGTCTGCTGAGGGCCTGCTTCTTCATACATGCCATCTTCTGTGTTCTCATGCAGTGGAAGGAGCTAGCTAGCTAGCTCTCTGTAGCCTCTTCTATAAGGTGCTAACCAGGGGGAGGCCTGTTAACCTAATCACCTCCAAAGGCACTACCTCCTAATGCCATGACATTGGAGGATAAGTTTCACTGTATGAGTTTTGAGGGACACAAACAGATCATCCTAGAGGGACCTGCATTTATTTGTTGAGAGGAAAGCTTCTTCTGACTCAAACAAGACCCACCTGATAAATACCTGCCTTGTGATTCCCTAAACCTGTCCTACTGCCACACCTTTCTGACATGTGTTTGGTTTCCTAAGTCTGTGCCTACTCCAGAGCTCTTTCCTGTGTAAACACTTAAGTTGAGCATCTGGAATGAATTAGCCTTAGGCAAGTTCCATCAGTGGTGAGGATTTTTTCCAGAGCATCCCACATTGTCCTAGTTTCAGATCCAGAAAACATTCATTAAGAGCCTGTTGTTTGCCAGGTGCTGTGTAAGGTGCTTTCTCCTGAAAACAACCCCACAGGAAGTCAACTCCTCCTCCACCCACCCTTTAAAAAAAAAATTATTTATATGTGGTGCTGAGAATTGAACCCAGTGTCTCATGCATGCTAGCTAGGCAAGCACTCTGCCACTGAGCTATGACCCCGCAGCCCTTTTGTAGATAAATAAACTGAGATTCAAAAAGTGTAAACGATTTCCCCAAGGGTGCATAGCCCTTGACTCCCAGGTTCAGTGAGATTTCTATAGTCACAAGATTTTAAACTAACTCTACTGAGCATGAAGACTTAACTCCTAAATGCAGGTCAGTAAACAGGTTTTTCTTAAAGGTCAGCTCTGATCAATTGATGTGGTTACCTCTAGTTAAAGATTTCTAGGTGCTGCCCAAGCTTGTTGAGCATGTTGTGATCCATTAGCAATGTCTAGTAGGGAGTAAGAGGGTGTCTGTAGAATCTGCTCTTGACCTGAGGAATGATCATCAGCCTCTGGCTATTCTGACCTCCTTGTCCATTTTGGAGTCTGCTGGGATAAGCACTAGTTGCCTGGGTTTGTTTCTTGCTACTTTAAGGGGCTATGATGATCACCTTTCTGAGTTGGCAACATGATCTTGGCCTCTGCCTTTAGGAAGGATGCTAAGGCTCCAGGGCAGAGCCTCACTTCCTAGACATGGAATCTCATTATTTAGATACCTTAGAGGTTTTCACTGTGTCATCTCATCATAGGGGCTTAGAAAAGTGAGTTGAAAGTGAAACCTTGAGCCAGGTGCAATGGTGCACGCCTGGAATCTCAAATACTTGGGAGGCTGAGGCAGAAGTTCAGCCTGGGAAACTTAGTGAGACCCTATCTCAAAAGACAAAAAGGAATGGGGATGTAGCTCAGTGGTAGAGTGCCCTTACCTAAGGGCTCCTCAATCTGTAGGGTATCTCAGGGAGGTCACAGCAAGCAGCCACACCTGCTCATATTGAATTGGACACACTCAGAGCAATAGTTCTCAATCAGCTGGAGGTCTTGTGAAAACAGTCTTGGGCCCCACTCCCAAGAATTTCTGCTTCAGGTCTGGGAACGTAACTCAGTTGGAAGAGGGCTTGCCTTGCATACACAAGGCCCTGGGTTGGATCCTCAGTACCACATAAAAATAAATACATAAAATAACGGCACTGTATTCAATTATAACTAAAAACTAAATATTAAAAAAATAATAATTTCTGCTTCAGGCAGTGTGGGTGAGGCCAGGAATTGGCATTTCTAACAAGTTCTTGGGGTTTGCATACCATAGTTTAAGAACCCCTAACCTGGAGTGTACCTTAAATAGGAATTTTAGAGCATGGGTTTGTTTGTAGATGGTGTGCTGATGTGTGTTTTGTAGCCAGTTCCCCTACCTGTGGCTAAGGGTTTTTTTCCTCAAATATTTAAGGATCATATCACATAGCACTGCCTAAGGGACATTTAGAGGGACCTAAAAGCTCGCCCCTGGGGGACTTAGGAGTCTGGTTTGGGATTAGTAATTGCACTGCTGGGAGAAAAGGACTGTACCTGTGTTCTTCTAGTGGCTATGACAGAAGGCCAGAAGTGGTGGCTCAGTCAGGGGTAGCCTCCTGGGGAGATGGTGTTTGAGAGGAAACCCAAGGATGAAAAATTGTTGGCTAGATGTGCAAAGAGGGGAAAAGAAACTCAGGAAGAAGCGATCGTCCATCACGGGGCCTGGAGATGCTGCACCAGGCTAGAAGAAAGGTTTGTGATTGTCCTAGAATGTCATTGTGATTCTGGTATGAAATGAAGCGTTGACCTGTAATAACGATGACCACGTTGGGGTGCATCTTGTGTCGTTGTGTTACTACCTATGGGAAGGGCTTTACCACTTAGGTTCCACAATACTCAGGAGTCAGGTTGGCAGGAAAATAAGTTTATTCAAAGCCAGTGTTGAGGAAGAGAAACTGTCTCAAATCTCCATTTTGGGGAGCTCAGGTGCATGGAAAGTGTTCACAAGAGGCGGCAAAGTGGGACAAAGGGCAGGAAATATATGTGTATAGATTTAGTTAGCCAAAGAACATCTTAGTCTTAATTTCCTCAGTGCCTATTGGGGCATGAGGAATTTTAAAATCCTCCCCTTGTGAGGAAGTTCAGCTGTGATTCAGTTGGATTGTGCTAGATACTCTACCTGCATTGTCTCATCTAGTTCTCATACCATCCTAGGAGGTGCAGGTCCAGCTGTGATACCCACTGTGAGTTTTTGTGCAATTCTGGGAAGTGAACTGAGGGCCTCTGCATATGCAAAGCAAGCACTCTACCACTGAGATCCGTCACCAGC